TGTGGGGGCAGCGGCCCAAGTGGACGAGCACTGCCCCTTCAGCTCCCTTTCTGCCCGACGAGAATGCCCGATGTGCCCAGCTCCAGGCTCCTGGGTTCTGGCTCCGAAAGCGGCTGCTGCCACGCAGGGTTGCTTTGTTCACATAAGATGTATACAGTGAACCCCCAAAACTGTTCTGCCGCGAGCTAGGCGGAGGCTTAATGTGACAAAAGGGGCCGCAATGCAATGGTTTCAAGTTTAGGCGAATTTGGACAATTTTTTTCTTCTAAATATGTATTCCTTATAGTTTTAAGGGAAATAAAAGTGAATCTTTACATTGTTTTTTGTGGAACATTATTGAATAACGCCCCCATTGAAGCCCTTGCCTTCTGGGCGCTCCTCACTTCCCCCACCCGCCCTCGTATCCGCTGTTAAAAATTTGGCGTTTCTGCTTCCAGATCTTTTAAAAAATTTGTATGTAGTTTTAAGAATTTTAAATGACTTCTTACTGCACAGAATTAATAGTGACAGCTGTAATTTTTAAAATCGCATTTTACTGTTTGTTAGTTTTATGCATGCCTCATTGTTTACTAGAATAATGGACGTTCCTCTAAGTCTTACAATCTATTGAGTTAAAACTCTCAATAAAACCATCTGAAGGCCCTTATTACATGCCAATGTGCAGATCTGGGTGTGATTTTTTTCTTTTCTACTGAGGCAGTTTTTTCAAAATGACTACCTTTCTCCCCCCCTTTTCTTTAAAAAAAAAAATTTTTTTTTTTCTTTAAAACAGGAGTAATATGGCTCCAGTAAATAGCTGGAGAGCTTTTTAAAAAAATAACATGCTGATGTTAGTGCATTCTTTAAGAGCAATCTCGTACGTTGATCTAATCTAGTAAAAGAAAACATTACATGTTTCAGTATATTTTATGAGCAGTGATAGAAATTCAAGGAAGGAAGATTGTGTAAGGAGAATTAGTTTATTGATCTTTTGAGTTTATTGGGTATGCAGTATAAAAACAATTTAGCCATGTTTTTTGAAGTAAAGTTAAACTTCTATTCTTACCATTAAAATTTGTTAAATCTGACAAAATTGGATTTTGTGATTTAAGTCTCTTTGCTAGATAATATCAATATTTAAATCATTTCCATTTGTTCTAATGAACTGCAGTATAAGGTTTACATGGTATGCTTTATGCATTCCAGTTTTTGTAGGGCACAAGTTATTGCAAGTCTTGACCTTGTTTTACTTGGCATAATGGAATCTTTTGGGAAAAATAACCTGTTTTTAATATCCTGGTTAAAGAAAAAGGAAAGGGTAATAAACTTGTTAGGAGTCCCCTTAATTGTTCAGCAAAATGTGATGAGCATTTTATTTGTAAACATACATTAATTTTGTTACACACACACACAACTCCCCCCCCGCCCCCCCCAAGCTGCCATTACAAAATACCATAGATAAGGTGGCTCAAACAGTAGTAATTTATTTTTTCACAGTTCTAGAGTTTGGGAGTCCCAGATCCTCGAAGAGAGTGAGCTTTCTGGTTCTGTTCTTTTTTTATAAGGGCACTAATGCCATCATGAGGGCCCCACTCTCAGGACTTTAAACCTGATTATCTAATCTCCAAATACCTTCAGATTAGGGGTTAGCGTTTCAATTTACGAATTTTGGGAGGGACACGATTCAGTCCACGGCAAGCTACTATATAATTTAAAATGTTGGTTTTGTTTTTTATTCTGAATATTTAAGAGAATATAATATACATGAGGACTAATTAAAATTTTTGGTGATTCTTGGGGCTCCTGGATGGCTCAGTCAGTTAAGGGTGCCACTCTTGATTTTGGCTCAGGTCATGATTTCATGGTTTGTGAGTTCCATTCGAGCCTTGGGCTCTGCACTGACAGTGAGGCACCTGCTTGAGATTCTTTCTCTGCCCTTCCCTTGCACCTGTGCTCTCTCAAAAATAAATAAACATTAAAAAAAACCTTTTGGTGATTCTTAAAAATGATTTATCTTTTACTAAAAGCAACTGGATTGAAGGAAATAAAATTAATTTTAAATTTCTAATTATTGGAGAATACAATCTTCCAATAGTTACAAATGAGAAAAAAATTATAATCTAGAAAGCCATTTTTTAAAAAAGTATTTATTTATTTTGAGAGAGAGTTCATGTATGCGCGTGTGGGAGGGTCAGAGAGCGAGAAGGAGAGAGAAAATCCCAAGCAGGCTCTGTGCTGTCAGCGCAGAGCCTGTATGTTCTGTTTCCGTGTGTGTAAAAGTTTAAAAACAGGTACAGAGATCAAGCAAGAAAGACATAGATTTTCAGTTGCTTTGTAACATCCCCTTTATATCCTGTATTGAAAATACAGTTCTGAAACATCTAAACCACAATACTTTTCATTTTTCGAGAGGTTTCACATCAAGTAGCTCAAATTATTGAACCATCTTGTATATAGGAATATTCAAGATTCTTATTAGTTGTCTGGTATCTTTTGTGTATGTGTCTGTTTTTGCCTTAAAATTTTTTAATAAAGCAGTTTTTTTCCATTTATAGGAAATTTTATGTGTTATGTTGCAAACGTGTCCACTGTAGGTCACTTTGGTTCTGTTAGCAATGAAATGTAAATGAGTTCTCTGTAGTGTGGTTATTTTGAACTTTTGAAAATCAATGAAACAATATAGAACCAGGGTCTTGTTTTTGCACTTGTTTTTTTACCCAGTGCGGGGCTTGAACTTGTTAACTGCGAGATCATGACCTGAGCCAAAGTCAGACACTTAACTGACTGAGCCACCCAGAGCCCCTATTTTTACCTTTTTTACTTGTAAACAATCTGAATGCACTTTACAAGGGATAAATTGATACCCAATAAGTCATCAGTAAACAAACTTTAGGTTTATTATTATTTTTTTTATTTTAAAATCCTGAGAGTATAGCATTAGAACTTTTGTTAGTATCATCTTTGTCATTACAACTGAAATTTGAAGGAAATTTAGGATTTTTTTGTTTAAAATCCAAATTGTACTATAAAAGAGCAATATTACCGAAGTCCACCCTATTTAATATTCTTTTTCTAGGATCTGGGTTTTGGTGGTGGTTGGTTGTGTTTTTATCAGAGTTGGGATTAGGGGAAGGACAACTTTCCATTTAAAAGGGACTTTAGGGTAACTTAGCTCAGGCGCATGAATGTTTCTAGTCATAAAACATTTACTAAGGGATGAAAATCCACCGATTGATTGGTATTTGTACATTCTTTATCCCAAAGGCAAATGTACATGTCTCACTTAAGTGCAGCCCTCTGTTAATTCTGGATATGGGTTGATATACTCTGTTAATTCTGGATATGGGTTGATATATTATTCTTGTGTATAAGACAGAGACCTAAATTTATATTTGTTCGGTTTTAGTGACTGGAAGAATATGCTTGCTGAGTAGCAAAAGACCTTTTGAACAAGAACATCATGATTCTGTGTTTTTTGGATAGCACTAATTTAAAATAGTTTACAGTACAGTGAATTACCTTAATAGTGTAAGTGTAAAGGAAATGAGTCAGTACCTTTGAGTTTGATTTCTGTGAAGATGTGAAATTTTAAAATGACAAACATCTATTTTGGGTACATTTTACAGTAGTAGAAAATGTAACATTACATTTTCTGTCCTGGTTTGAAAGAATCTCATCATATTCTTGATAAAGCATGCTGTTTGAGCTATCTGGAGTTCGATTATTTTTATACGATTCATTGTGATTTTTCTGAAATTGCAAACTAGAGATCCTTTGTTTAGTATTTTCATGTAAAAAAATTCTATCAAAATATTAATTTAGTTTAATCAGGTCAAGTATTTATATTTTAGACCATGAAGCATTTTTTTATATATGTGGATAAAAAGCTTTATAATTGTAGCTAAGCTTTCACACAGGCAAAACAATGGGCAAATGGAATTTATCTTGAAAAGTAAATTACAATTTTCTGACCACAATTATTCTGAGTACTTTTTATTGAGATTACTTTCTGGTTTTTGGTGTACTTTTTATTGAGATTACTTTCTGGTTTTTGGTGAACATGTCTTGATTTCTAGGATCATTAAGGCTAGTATTAGTGAAATGACTATGCAAAATCAAACTTTTAAAAATGATTTTTAATAATATTTGGCTTTTGAAAAATCATTATAGACTTGACATGGAGAAAGCCGCTTGTAAGTAATTTACACATTTGGAAACAGAAGGTTGGGGGCGCCTGGATGGCTCAGTCGGTAAAGCATTTGACTTTGGCTCAGGTCATGATCTCAGGGCTCATGGGTTCAGGCCCCGTGTTGGGCTCTGTGCTGACAGAGCAGAGCCTGGAGCCTGCTTCGGATTCTGTGTCTCCCTCTCTCTCTGCCCCTCCCGCTTGGACTTGAGCGTGCTCTCTCTCTCTCTCTCTCAAATAAATAAAAATATTAAAAGAAAAAAGATCCTAGATCTTGACTCCTACATTCTCTTTTGTTTGTGCTATACTTTTGCCCTTCAAAGTGATTGTTGTGAACTACTCTTTTGTCAGTGGCAATTGGCATCTTTCCCTCTCATTTTAGAACCCGAGTCATTTTCAGTACTTTCCCTTTAAAAAAATGGTTTTAACAGAAGTATGTTTGGCAGTGTTACATTAGTTTCAGGTGTACATTATAATATTTTGATAGTATAGGTTAAGATGTGTTCACCATAAATGTAGCTACCGTCTGTCACCCTAGGAGTCTATTCCAGTACCATTGACTGTATTCCTTGTGCTGTGCCTTTCAACCCAGTGACTTTACTTTGTTCTATAATTGGAAGCCTAAACATCCCATTCTCCTTTACCCATTTTGTCCATACCCCTACCTATGCCCCACCCCAAAGGGGCCATCAATTTGTTCTCTGTATTTATGCGTCTGTTTCTGCTTTTGTTTGTTTGTTGATTTGTTTTTTGGATTCCACATATAAGTGAAATCATATGATATTTGTGTTTCTCTGACTTATTTCACTTAGCATAATATTTTTTTTTTTAATGTTTGTTTATTTTTGAGAGAGAGAGAGGAACAGAGAGAGAAGAGAGGAAGAATCCCAACCAGGCTCTGTGCTGTCAGTGCAGAGCCCGACATGGGGCTCAAACCCATGAACTGTGAGATCATGACCTGAGCCAAAATCAAGAGTTGGACACTTTCTCGACTGAGCCACGCAAGCGCCCCAGCATAATATTTTCAAGGTCCATCTATGTTGTCACAACTGGCAAAATCTCATTCTTTTTATGTCTGAGTAATACTCCTGTGTGTATGTGTGTGTGTATCACATCTTCTTCATCCATTTATCTGTGGATGGTCACTTGGGTTGGATATCTTGGCTATTGTAAATAATGCTGTAATAAACATGCCTATGTAATAAAGATGCCTATGTCTTATCAAATTAGCGTATTCCAGTCGGGCCCTCATTCTTATGCTGGGATTTCTTTAATTACTTTCTAACCATGTTCTCTTTTCTAACTGGTTCTAATAAACTGCTTTCAAACATGTATTTTATTTTATTATTTATTTTTTATTTTTTATTTTTTTTTCAATATATGAAGTTTATTGTCAAATTGGTTTCTCTTTCCATAACAACACCCAGTGTCATCTCAAAAGGTGCCTCCCTCCTCATAACATCACTCCACCCTCCCCCTCCCCTCCCACCCCCCATCAACCAGTTCTCAAAGGTTTTTAAGAGTTCCTGCGTGCTTTGGCTCTTTCCACTTAACCTTTTTTTTTTTTTTCCTTCCCCCATGGGTTTTCCCTTTGTTAGTTTCTTTCAGGATCCACATAATAAGAGTGAACCATATGGTATCTGCTTTCTGTATGGCTGTATTTCACTTAGCATAACACTGTGCAGTTCCAATCCATGTTGCTACAAAGGGCCATATCATTCTTCCCATTGCCACGAAATTCTCCATTGTGTGTATATAAACCAATTTCTTTATTCATTCATCACCAAGATGACATTAGGCTCTTTCCATAATCTCCTGGCTATTGTTGAGAGCATATGCTATAAACATTGGGGTACAAGTGCCCTATGCATCAGTACTCCATCCCTTGTAAATTCAGCAGGATAATTGCTGGGTCATAGGGTAGGTCTATTTTTAATTTTCTGAGAACCCACACTGTTTTCCGAGTGGCTGCACCAGTTTGCATTCCCACCACCGCAAGAGGGTTGCTTTCTCCACATCCTTCCAGCATCTAGTCTCCTGATTTGTTCATTTTGCCACTCTGATCATGAGGTGATATCTGAGTGTGGTTTTTGATTTGTAGCCTGCTGAGGAGCCACGCTAGAGTCTTTTCATGCCTGTTGGCCATCCTGATGTCTTCTTGGAGTAAAGTGTCTATTCATGTTTTTTTCTGCCCATTTCTTCACTGGGTTATTTGTTTTTCGGGTGTGAGTTTGGTGAGCTCTTAGATTTTGATACTAGCCTCTTTTGTCCAATATGTCATTTGCAAAATATCTTTTCCATTCCATTGGTTGCCTTTTAGTTTTGTTGTTTCCTTTGCTGTGCAGAAGTTTTCTTTTTTATCTTCATAAGGTCCAATTCATTTTTGCTTTTTAATCTTTTGGGGATGTAAATGTAGTAAGAGATTGCTACGGGCTGAGGTCAGAGAGGAGGTCTTTCCCTGCTTTCTCCTAGGGTTTTGATGCATTTCATCTGGTAGTCCTGTCCATTTATTTTTAGAATGGTGAAAGGAAAGTGGCTCCAGTTTCAGTCTTCTGCATGTTGCTGTCCAGTTCTCCCAGCAACCACACATTTGTTAAAGAGACTGTCTTTTTTTCCATTGGATGTTCTTTTTCCCTGCTTGTCATGATTAGTTGCCACACGCTTGTGGGGTCTAGTCTCCGGGTTTCATTCTATTCATTGGTTCATGTGTCTGTTTTTAGGCCAATACCACGCCTTTGTCTTGATGATGACAGCTTTGTAGTAGAGGTACAAAAAGTCTGGGATTGTGATGCCTTCCCGCTTTGGTCTTCTTCTTCAAAATTACTTTGGCTGTTCTGGGCCTTTTTGTATGGTTCCATATGAATTTTAGGAGAGTTCTATTATGCTTCAGAAGAAATGCTGGTGTACTTGACTGGGATTGTACTTGAATGTGTAGATGGCTTTTGGGTAGTAATATTTTGGACAATTATTTACTCCTTCCAATCCATGAGCAGGGAATGTCTTTCCATTTCTTTTATATCTTCTTCAATTTCCTTCATAAGCCATAGTTTTCAGCATGATCTTTTACATCTTTTGGTTAGATTTTATTCCTTGTGGGGTATTTTTATGCTTGCCAACAATGGGATCAGTTTCTTTTATTTGTCTTGTGTTACTTCATTATTAGTATAAGAATGCAACTGATTTCTGCAAGATTGATTTTTGTATCCTGCAACTTTAAGAATTCATGGTCAGTTCTACAGACTTCTGGTGGAGTCTGTCAGATTTTCCATGTATTATATCATGTCATCTGCAAAAAGTGAAAACTTAACTTCATCTTTGCCAATTTTGATGCCTTTTTGTTGTCTGGATTGATTGCTGATGCTGGGCATAACTCACTATGTGAAACAACAGCGTGAGAGGGCCGGTCGTTCCTGACCCGGAAAGCTCAGTTTTTCCCATTGAGGATGATGTTAGGCTGTGGGCTTTTCATAAATGGTAGCTTTTTATGATGTTTAAGTATGTTCCTTCTATCCCGAATTTCTTTCTGCAGTTTTTGTTGGCAAGGTTGCTGAATTTTGTCAAATGGCTTTTCTGCATCGATTGACAGGATCATATGGTTCTTATATTTTCTTTTATCAATGTGATGTATCACGTTGATTGATTTGCAAATGTTGAATCAGCCCTGCATCCCAGGAATGAATCTCACTTGATCATGGTGAATAATTCTTTTTATATGCTGTTGAATTCGATTTGCTAGTATCTTATTGAGAATTTTTGCATCCATATTCATCAGGGATATTGGCTCAAACATATATTTTAGAACATACTACCTCTTATCCCACATTTTTTTCCCTTGCTCTGATTCTGTTATGGTGTTCTATGGGTCACTCTCATCAGCACATGTTTATCATGCATTTTCTATATTCATGGTATTGTAAAGCATTAGGAGAATGTAACGATGTATAGGACATAATACCAGTGTCAATTTGTTGTAAGGGGGTGGGGTTTAAATAAATCTATGATCCCTACTTCAATAGTTTATCATTCAGTTCAGGAGACTACATAAACACTGAAAAGTTCAATAGAAGAATAGTAATAATACACTTTTTCTTATTTTTGTACAGGTTCCTGTTGCATGTAAATCGTGTCCCTGTGGTTACATATTTATTAGCAGAAAACTTTTAAATGCAAAACACCCAGAAAAATCACCACCTTCTACAGGTAATTATGAAAGTTTACCACAAAACTAATTTTTGTGAATTTAGTATTTACATCTCTGTTGAAGTTAAAAATTAAAACCTATTAAAGTATGCCTTTGGTTCTTATTAGCTGTTGGAAATCAGTTTATGACATTAGTTTGCCCTTCATTCCATTTAAATGTTAACTCCCTTATAATGCTGATGAATCTGTTTATTATTGGAGGATGTGTCTCAACATAGAAGAGTTTTAAACAAGGGAGTGATCTGATCTGATTTTTACAAATTAAATAGTTTAATTAAGGTATCATTGATATTCAGTAAATAGCACATATTTAAAGTGTGCAGTCTGATAGGTTGTATCATATGATTACACCTGTCATCAAAATCAAGGTAATGAACAATGTCCATCTTTCCAAAAGTTTTCTAGTTCCCCTTTGTTACTCTCTTCTTGCTGCCTTCACCCCCACAAAACCACTGATGTGTTTTCTGTCACTATTCTTAGAACTTTATATAAATAGAATCATACAGTATGTACTCTTTTTTTGCCTGGCTTTCACTGAGCATAATTTAAGATTCAGCCATATTGTTGTGTTGATCAATAAGAATCAATTGCTTTTTACTGCTCACTAGTAATTTTTGTATGGCTATGTGACAATATGTTGTTTATTCACTGGTTGATGGACATTTGGTTTTACCCCCTCAGTGCTGGTAAAATTTATAACAACTGTCAAGTTTTTTTTTTTTTTATTTTTTTTTTTATTTTTTATTTTTTATTTATTTTATTTTTTTTTAACTAGTAACTGGAAAAATATAACTTGATTTTGATGTGAGTATAATTTTAGACATATTGGTTATTTTTTATAATTCTCTGATTTAGAATATCTAAAAAATAATTTTGTTGGAGTTTTACTTTCCCATTAATGTAGACAAATTGGATTTATTCAGTGAGTATATTTCTTAAAAGATGAAATTTTGTTATTTATCCTTGCGTGATATTAGAAGAGTGATGATCTCCAAATAAAAGTAAATTGATTACAAATAAATTTTGAGTGACTGCTATATGCTAGGCATTGTTCTAAGCCTTGGGCGTAAAGTAATGAATGAAATCTGTCAAGGGAGGTTCACTGCTGTCATGGAGCTTACATTCTTGTGGGCATGAGATAGACAATGAACAAATAAAAAGGGCAGTTACTGGCTTGTGATAAATGCCTTGTAGGAAATTAAAATAGATTGCTGTCCTAGTATGTGACTAGAAGGCTACTTTTGATTGAGTGACTGGATAAGGCCTCTCTGAGAAGGGACATTTAAACTGAGGCTGAGGGGCGCCTGGGTGGCGCAGTCGGTTAAGCGTCCGACTTCAGCCAGGTCACGATCTCTCGGTCCGTGAGTTCGAGCCCCGCGTCGGACTCTGGGCTGATGGCTCAGAGCCTGGAGCCTGTTTCCGATTCTGTGTCTCCCTCTCTCTCTGCCCCTCCCCCGTTCATGCTCTGTCTCTCTCTGTCCCAAAAATAAATAAACGTTGAAAAAAAAAAATTTTTTTAAACTGAGGCTGAATTGGAACAAGGGGCTAGCCCTGATAAGATCAAGAAGAACATTCTTGACAGATGAAATAGCAAATGCAAAAATTTTAGGGCTGAAAAAATTTTGGTGTATTTTAGGAATGAAAAGGCCAATGTGGTTGCAGTGTAGACCGTAAGAGCAGGGGAATGTGGGAGATGAGGCCGGAGGGATAGGCAGGGGCCAGATTGCATACAGTTTTGTAAACCAGAGTAAGAAGTTTTGGATTTTGTTCTTAAAATGTGAGGAGAAACTATTCCTCGGATGTGGGATGGAGTGAGGTAAAGGTAGCATGATCTGATTTGCCTTTCAGAAATACCATTTTGGCTGTTGTCTAGAGAAAGGTGTACAAGACAGAAGTGGGCTATTGCAGTATGTTAATAGTGAGAATACTAAGAGAGTGGTTAGGTTATAGTAGCAGATGATTTAAGAATTATTTACATTTATGTCTGTGAGAGGTCTGTTTATTCTAGGAGTCAAGAAAATTATTTAATTCCATTTCTGCCTCTGTTTAAGTTTGTTCCCATTCATTATGAGAATAAAGGCTTTGCTGGATTAGTTATATAAGAGTCATCCAGAGAGCTTGTTAAAAATGGGTTCTCCTGGGTCATATTCTCTGAAGAGTTTGGTTCAGGTATGGAAATCCTGGAATGATTCATTCAGTAGATTTCTGGGTGGTGTGTCAACTCAGTTCTGGGTCTCCAAAATGAGTAAGACATAGTTTGTGCCCCTTAGCAGGACAAATGTGTTAATTTTTTTTATTCAACAAATATTTTTGAGCTCCTTCTGTATACCAATGGCTCAGGTGAGAAATGAGATAAAGAAGAAACCCAGCAAGGATAGAGAGAAGGGACAGATGCTGCAATTAAGGAATTGGAATCACTTGAACCAGAAGGAAGACTTTTACAGTGACTCCCAATGACTTGAATTACTGGTTAGAAAAGGAATATAAAAAGGAAGACAAGTTTTGAGGGAAAGATGAAGAATTTAGTTTTGGATGTGGTTGTGAAATATCCTTGTGGGTTATTTTTTTCCCAGTTGGACATAGAGTTTGAAGCTTAGGGAATAGCCTCAACTGGAGATAAATCTCTTTTTTTATGCTTATTTACTAATTTTGAGAGAGAGTGCACGCATGAGTGCATGTGCACTCCTGAGCAGGGGAGGGGTAGAGGGAGAGAGCGGGAATCCCAAGCAGGCTCCAAGCCCATCCTGAGCCCTATGCAGGGCTCCATCTCACAATGTGAGATCCTGACCTGAGCTGAAATCAAGAGTTGGATGCTTAATGGACTGAGCTACTCAGGTGCCCCTGGAGATAAATCTTGTGTTTTTTTTTTTTTTAATGTTTGTTTATTTTTGACAGAGGCAGAGCATGAGCACGGGAGGGGCAGAGAGAGTGGAAGACAGAGAATCTGAAGTAGGCTCCAGGCCTGCTGACAGCATAGCTCCCAACTTGGGGCTGGAACTCACCCGCTGTGAGATCAAGACCTGAGGGGAAGTCGTTGGACTGAGCCATCCTGGCGACCCTGGAGATAAATCTTTTGAGCCATTAGTGAATGGTAGTTGTCATCATGGAAATGGAGGAGATTGTGCCATAGAGTCTATAGGGTAGGAAAAGGAAGGAGTTCAGAGACTGAACTCTGGCAAACTCCAGTCATAAATGGTGGAGGTTGTTAGGGAGTTCAGGTCAACTGAGAAGATGCGCATGTACATGTCAGCTGTAGGGGAATAAACAAGAGAGAGTGGTGGTACTTAAGTCATGGTGATAAATAAGAGGCAGTTCATTATTATTTTACATTTGGAATTTCCTGAGGTTCTGTTGTTTAATAAAAGTGGCCTTGTGACCTTGAAGTAAAGATGAGACAATAAAGCCTAGAAATTCCCTGGAGGAGGAAGAGGTACCAGCAAAAGAAACAAAAAATAGTTTAAAAAAATGGAGGAACATCAGAAGTAGACTGTGCCGTAGAAACCAAAGGAGGAAAAGGTTTTAAGGAGAAAGGTTAAGAATATTCAAAGCCTAGAAAACAGTTGGTATAGTACAAACATGGGAGTTGGAAACCTTGGCTTCAGATTCAGATTCCAATTTTGTCACTCTCTAACAAGTTAATTAACCTGTGAGTGGCTGCTACTTACTTGCATGTAAGGTAGATTTATAGTATCAACCGTAGAGGGTTGAAGTGCAGATGAAGTGCATATAAAAATAGCTAATGTAAACAAAGTTTAGTATGTTATAGGTACTCAGTAAATGTTCATTTTTACAATTAAATTTCTTAAAAGTAAGATTTACCTTGGTTAGTTTGTAGTATGTGAGAGATTGAGAAGAGTATAATTTTTAAAATGTCTACAGTTACCAAGTACTTGATGAACACTGGTCAGTGGGATCCAAAACATTTCAGTTTGAATAAGAATTTATAAAAGAAAAGATGAAAATGGACAACCTAATATATATCTGGAAGGATAATGAATTTCACTAATAATTAGGGAAATGCAGTTGAAATAAAATACCATTCTTTTTACCCATATTCTGACAAAAATGTAAAGGATTTGCAAGTACTTTTATGAATATGGTGGAATGAGTACTTTCATACTAGTGGTGAGGTTATAAAACACCACAGCCTTTTTGCAGAACAGTCTGACAGTAGTAGTTAAAAGTTTTAAATGCACATAACCTAGAATCTAGACTTCTTTATCAACAGGTATGTAACCTGGAGATAGTTGTTTATAATACACAATGAAATACTTACTAGGATTTTCAGGCAACAGTGTTTATAATAGGAAAAGTGAAGCCAGATATTATCAGTGGGGAGTGATTAAGGAGGGTACGTCTTTTAGGGAACAATAGTATATGCTAATTAGAGAGAATGGTGCAAATTGTTATGTATTGACATGGAAAAATCTCTAAAAGTTAATTTAAGAAAAAAAGTACAGGGCGTGCCTGAGTGGCTCCGTAAGTTAAACATCCAGCTCAACATCCAGCTCACGACTTTGGCTCAGGTCATCATCTCACAGTTGGTGGGTTTGAGCCCTGTGTCAGGCACTGCTTGGGATTTCCTTTCCCTCTCCCTTTCACTCTCCCTCCCTTTCTCCCTCCCTTTCTGCCCCTCCCCCACTTGTGCTGTGTCTTTCTCAAAATAAATAAACTTTAATACTTAAAAAAAAAAAGTACAAAACGATACTTCCATGAACTTTTTTTTTACAGAAGTTTTTTTTCTTGTAATGAGAACTTTAAATATTTACTCTTAGTAACTTTCAAATATGCAATAGAGTATTATTAACTATAGTCACCATGTTGTATGTTACTTGTCATGACTTATTTATATTGTTGTTAGAAACTTGTACTTTGTATATTGTATAATGTAACTGGAAGCTTGTAGGACCCTCTTCAACCCAGATCACCGCCCACCCCACCCCATCCCCGCAAACCTGCCAAGTCTCACCTCTGGCAACCACCAATCTGTTCTTTGTTAT